AGCTGGCCAATCAGAGCACACCTCGCTTTTCAGACCGATGAGCTTTGTAAAAATCAACATGTTTCAGAAAGGCGGGGCATAGAGGAGCAACAATAATGTACATTATGTAGAAAATAATGTGTTTTTTAACCTTAAACCACATAAACACATTACATTACACCAAATACACAACATAATATTATTTTTAGCAACGTCATATGACCCCTTTAAAACCATTTAAAACATGTCCAACCATTTAACAACATACTGGTAACCAGTCTAACATTTTCTTGATAAAATGTAAAGCTCATTATATATTTGATGTTTTCTGTCAAAACTGTGATCTTTGAGATGTGTTTTTTGTCAAGACAGTGCTGTATGTAGCACAGCATTCACTTTGAATCAAGTACTGAGTGAACATGCCACAGTCAGATGAAGGAAAAACTGAAACACAGCCTTCATGTCTCCCCATGGCAACTCATCCAAACATTCCTTGAGTTTGGAGTTGCATGATCCAATTCCCATTCCTTCCTAATCCCTTTTAAAACATAATTACCAGCCAGTAATTAAACATTTATATGATATCAATGGCTGCAGAAGATCATTAAAGTCGTACAAGAAAGTAAACATCTTGATTCCACACGTTGCTCACAGACAGCCTCTCTCTTTCTCTCTCGGTGTCCCTCAGGACTTTTTTCCATTAACCCACCCTACTGATGCTCTTTCACTGTTTCCAGCCTCATCTAAGCTGCCAAGAAAAGAAATTACAGCAGAACACTGTCTTTCCAAACCACTGGGGTTGACTTTGTTTTTAACAGAGATTCTGAGATCTTCGTGGTGCCAAAGCTGGACCTGATCACATATCAAGAGCACCCAGGAAGGCTGAGCTGGCGTGATATTGCTCTGTTTCTGTGGAGTTCTGCTGGAGGATAAACAGTTATGAGGTGGGAAAACTAGTTCTCTGAGGAGCCCAGATAAGAGCTTGTGGAGAGAGGCTGTGGGCAAACATAACAAGCTGTATGAAGTTCTCCCCGCTCCGTCTAATCTTGCCGTCTGCATAACTCCAGTGCGCCGTAATGCCTCGGCCCTCTAAAAATAGGTCTCAGGACCATGCTCTCATTTTAAAGAGGAAAAACAGCCAAAGCATTTAAAATAAAGATCAGAGTGCAAAAAATATGACTGAGCCTCAGAAGTGTGACTATTTCTTCATTTCAGTGGCTTATGTTAATATTTTGACAACATGAAAAAGGGATAAAAAATACAGTTCTGTGCTAAAGAAAGTGCACAGATTTCAGATATGTGGGCATTTTGATACTTTATTTGGATGATATTCATGAGTAAAGATGATATAATTTACTAAACAATGAACATTGTTTTAAAAAGGTATACTTATAATCAGCTTTTCATTCATTTATATCTACAGTTATTCTACATTTTCTGGTAATATGAACATTATTAGGCATGAGAAACAAGACTGATATTAAAAATCAAGTCAGAAATCAAACTTGACTAAAAGAATAAGAGTTAAACTTAAGTGTGACTTACCCTTGCTGTTTTAGTGTGATCTGACACACTCTGCAGACTCAAATCTGCTTGTGTTACGCAGCAGTGCTCTGATCCGTCTGTCTGTCAATTCCTCAACAGCTGCCTTCCATAAATCTGATTCTGGATCAGTCTCAGCACGGACTCCCCCCCCAAACTTCCTCTCAGGGTCTCACATATCCTTCAGAGGTCTCTACACCTCGTGTTACGCAAATGCAAGACTTTAATGATCACTTAAGAGGTGATTCATTAGCGAGACCCGTAAACACCAGTAGTTAGTTGTGTTGTTTCTTAGGGGTTGGGGGAGGGAGGAGTAGAGCGAGCAGGAAGAAGGAAAAAATGACTGCCAAGAGAGAATTACAGAGCGTTTTCTGCACTTGTTTGACTTTTATGAATGTGAGTCACTTTCTAAGCACGAGCTCCGGATAGGAAGCTAAAGTTAGTGGCTTCGCTCACTGAGAATCTGCTTGTCTGTTGGACAGCAAGTCTTTCTCTATAAAGGCGGGTCACACTAAAACAGGATGGAGTATTAATAGATGCATATCTGCCAGCAGCAGAGGCTTCAGGCTTGTTATGTTCATGAGCTTTGTGTTGTCTCTCTTACAATAGTTTACGTAGTTAGTCAGAATGTCTCCTCATGAAAATCATTATAAAACAACCCCCAAATCTAAGAATCCAGAGATGGAATAAAAGTTCCACACTGTTATGATAGATCTAAGTGCACTGAGAAGATGTGTGCTGATATTTTGTAAGTAGACTTATCAGACTTTTGATTTTCACCTTATGGAAGGTAAAAATTTAGTGTTGTTTTCATGTGGGCCAGTAAGGAACCACCTGCAAACACTCAAAACACACTATAGTAAACCACTGGTAACCACTTAGAATAGCAGTGTATAGCAATGTTATAGTATAGTGTCAGTGACTTTTGAATGGGCAGTACTATCATTTTCTTTCAGAAAATTTTGTTATATACACTGAAAGTTGGTTTCTGTTAGATATTTTTTATGTTTTTAAAAGAAGCCTCCTTATGCTCAACAAGGCTGCATTTATTTGATCAAAAATAAACTAAAAACAGAAATATTGTGAAATATGATTACAATTTTAAATTATTACAAATTATTTGTTAAATTATTATTACAATTTTTTTTACTGTTTTCTATTTTAATATATTTTGAAATGTAATTTATTCCTGTGATGTAAAGCTGAATTTTCAGCATCATTACTCCAGTAATGTTGAAAACAGTTACAAATGTGTAATGATAAGACAAACAGCTGACCACATCCATTAAAGGGGTCATATGATGCGATTTCAATTTTTCCTTTCTCTTTGGAGTGATACAAGCTCTTGGTGCATAAAGAAGATCTGTAAAGTTGCAAAGACTAAAGTCTCAAATCCAAAGAGATATTCTTTATAAAAGTTCAGAGTCAGCCACACCTACCTAAAACGGCTCGTTCTAACACGCCCCCACATATCTACCTCACTATGTGGGAAGATTTGCATAACTCCGCTCAAATGTTCACTCAAAGAAAGAAGGCGTAACTTTTAGTCTCACTGTAGTATTGTTGCTCAACATCATATGACCCCTTTAATACCTGCCCTCTGACTTCCCTCGGCCAGCAAAGACAACACGTGTTTCATTGAGTTCAAGTCTGTAGCAAATATTGAAAACAGAAGAATGTATAATAAAGACCTGAATAATCCCGGTGTTGGTAATGCTATATAGAGGGCAAATATCCATAAAGTAGCTGATGCACAGTAAAGAGAAAAAGCTGTTTGTCGTAAATCTAGCCTATGTTTACATGTGTAATGATGTGTGAATGCATGTGTAATGTGTGATGGCAATGAAGATTAGTCTGATATAAAGCATTCTAATAAGTATTTCATCATTATTATTATTATTTTCTGTGGAAAGTAATTATAAGCATAACATACCTGGTCATTGAGTTGTCTCTCATTTTGGAGCATGACGAACAAGGGGTCAGGAGGATGAGAAATGTGTCTTATTTCTATCCCAGACCTCAAAGGTAAAAACTTTTTTTCTAGGCCACTGCTTCGAGCCTTGCGTGTTTTTCGTTCAAAACAGGACCATTCAAAATCTTTACATAGCTTACACTGATGCAAGAAAATTCAATCAATTAGAAGGTATGATTACTAGAAGGACATTCATATTTAAAAAACATATTTTACTTTGATAGTGGCAGGAAATAAACTACTGTATGGACGTTGTGTTACTGCCTAATCACCGTTTCCCATGAAATATCGTTGTCTGTCTCCAGAGGGCGCTTGGGTATGGATGCTCAGAAACCCAAATCTTTCTTTGAGCCGCATGCAGAGTTTGTTTTACGTGTCTTTTAAATGCGTACATCAAAACGTTTAAAAATAATAATTTTATGTATTGGTAACTGAAATACAAATTAAGATGTTCACAAAATGATTTTAAAAATCCTTACTATGTAATCAGATTGCGTTAAGAAAAGTAGCAGGTACCATGTGACAGTGTGACTTCTACTCACTGTTCTTCAGCATAATAATTTACACAGTAATAATGATAAATGAGAATTGGACGAAATATGAAGCGTAAAACGATCATTATTATTGTGCATGCATAGTGCAAAGCCCTGTCCATTCATATTCTGAAAGTAACAGAATATGCGCTTTATCAAAAGGCTTTGGCTTTAGCCAATCAGTGCGCTCGGCGAGTATGGCATTATGGGAAATGAAGTTTTACAACTATTGAACTATCAACTACATTCACTTATTCGCTCACAAAAATACACCGCAACAGTTAATTAATTGTTATAATAAAAATATAGTTTGTAGACACCACATAGTATGCGTTTTTTTATCATATTTTTATTACTATTATTTTATATTTTCCCACACGCAACAAAGTCACATGACTGCTCCGCTGACAGGAAGAAAGATGGCGATCTTCAGTGTGTATGTTGTCAATAAGGCCGGTGGACTCATCTACCAGTACGATAATTATGTACCTCGAGCTGAAGTTGAAAAAACATTCAGCTTTCCGCTTGATTTAGTTTTAAAGATTTACGATGAGAAGTTAGTTGTGTCATTCGGACAGCGGGACGGGATCAGAGGTGTGTGTATGTGTCTGCAACCCATCCCATGTATTATTACACATTTATAGGTCCATCACTGGAGTCCAGCATGTGTTCTTGTGAGTTATACAGTACGTGTTTTGTCGCGTGCAGTGGGTCATGCGGTTCTGTCCATTAACGGGGTGGATGTGAATGGTAAATACACGGCTGAAGGGAAGGAGATACTGGAATATCTGAAAGATCCTGCCAACTATCCAGTGTCCATCAGATTCGGGCGACCTCGCCTTACCTCCAATGAGAAACTCATGCTGGCCTCAATGTTTCACTCGTGAGTAGACTTCATTAAACATGGTTCGACCCATTCTTGTAATGTTGCTAATGTTGTTTCAAACCTGTATGACTTCCTTTCATCATGTAAACACAAAAGGAGATGTTAGGCATCCACTTTTGTGTTCTACAGAACAGCACAACTGTGTTATCTTATTTTGGTATGTTTTTATTCTTGCAATTGCAGCAATTCTTTTAATCCTAACTGATGCAGTGTGTAGCTTTTCATTTCTTAAACAACCATGTTGGAAGACGTACTCGTGTACATATTCCAGGATGACAATGCCAAGATTCATTGGACCCGAATTGTGAAAAAGTGGTTCAGTGAGCATGAGAAATCATTTTCATGTATGAGTTCTGTGCTAAAGCTTTTGGAAAGTTTCAGGATGTGCTGGAGTTGACTTGACCGAGTGGTTCAACTCTCCCATCTTGGTCAACTCTTGGTGGAAACAAATGTTGTGATGTTGCATAATGTTGTCGAAGCAATGCCACAACAAAAACCCAATGCTAACGAAGACTTTAATGTGTTCTTGCTGAGTAAAAGTGCTGATTTCTTAATAAATGTTACTGATCACAAATCTTTGAGTGGTAGTGCAATATATAGATAACTCATTATAACATTCATAATAAACCCCTGATCATGAATACAAAATACTGTTGTACCTGCATTGTACCTGTGATGATTGGATTTTCTTGTCTTTTCTAAGGCTGTTTGCCATTGGATCACAGTTATCACCTGAAGTCGGCAGCTCTGGTATTGAAATGCTGGAGACAGATGTGTTTAAACTGCACTGCTTTCAAACACTCACAGGTCTTTTTTTCCCTCTCATTGTAAGAACAGGTTAAATTTAGTCAGAATGTAGAATTTTGTGCTGAACAAAACCAGTGATTTTGACAGAACTGTTTTCTTATTTTTGCAGGTATAAAGTTCATTGTATTGGCAGACCCTCGACAGTCTGGTATTGATGCCCTCCTAAGAAAGATTTATGAGATCTACTCAGACTTTGCACTGAAGAATCCTTTCTACTCTTTAGAAATGCCTATCAGGTGTGTAATGTTTTTTACTATCACTAGTCGTAATGTTATGAGCTTTGCATGCTGTCCAATTTGTTGCTTGCCACAAAGGTGTTGTGTGTAACAAAAATTTCTTTCAGATGTGAGCTTTTTGACCAAAATCTAAAGAGTGCCCTGGAAATAGCAGAGAAAGCTGGGGCATTTGGACCCGGGTCTTGAACTGGACATGCACCGTGTATGTACATCCACCTGACAGGATCTCCAAACGTTCTGCTGTCAAACTTGTCCAGAAAAATGGGATAAAGACTTCCATCAACTTTTTAAGGAATACGAACAAGAGTTTTCCTCAAGCTCAAACAACTGAACATAGTTTAAGACCACTGTGTTTGGTTAATTTACATTTTTCTTGAAATTAAGTCCCAAATATTGGAAACATATTTCACATAACCTTTGTAAATAATCTACATGGACACAGTTTATGTTTGTAATGTGCAGAACATCTATACAAGATGAAGCAGCTCAATACATGTTATTGAAACATGTTTATTAGCGTCTTTCTAAATGTAATGAAATTTCCATATCATTTGCTTTCTGTCTGGAGATTATGAAAATTTCTGAAGTTTGGTCTTACATTTTTCATTAATAATAACTCATTACATTGTGCTATTAAACATTCATGTGATCTAACATGTTGTCATATTTCATCCTACACATTTATGAATTTGTAATACTGCAGATACAGAGGTAGGACCAGTTAAAGCTCTAAAACGAATAAAAAATACTAGAAATAAATTTATTTTAACAGTAATAAAATGTCAATAGCACTGAAGAAATGGCTTTAACATGCCTTAACCAAATGATAAAGTTCTGCAATGTAAGTGTTGAGTGAGAAGATTCAGAACAGTGTAAAATACTCATCCGTCGGCGCTGATGGCTTCGTGGGCAGCCGCGCCGACATGTAGCGCCTTTGCGCCTCGGGCGTCCCGAGTTCGAGTCCCGGCTTGCAGACCTTTCCCGATCCCACCCCCCTCTCTCTCACCCACTTTGCTTCCTGTCGACCTACTGTCCTATCTAAATAGAAGGCATAAAATGCCAAAAATAAAGCGCTTAAAAAAAAAAATACTGTCATTCGTTTTTAAAATAAACAGAATAAATAACATGATGTGCAGAAAGTGACACAACATGGTATCCTATTTCATACGTCGCTTAAAATAGTGTAATATCTTAGGAATAGATATCCACACGTAATTCATCTATATTTCATAAACAAAATTAAAATCCTAGACAAGTTGTACCCTTTATTTTTTGTGCCCTTTATACAGTATCTTAAAAACTAGTTAAAAGACGTTAAAAATAATCATGTTTAGTTGGCCTTCTTGGGTACACTTCCCATCTTGGTGCGGATATTCCAGAGCAGGAAGTATCCAACTGTGGTCACAGTACAGGTTATTTCTGCTACCCAGAATGCTGTGTTCCAGCCATAGTGCTTTGCAATGGTGCCGAATGGCAACTTGACAGGAAACCACCAACTGCCAGCAAAACAAACACACAAAAAAAAAACATTAGTATTCTTTGAAATGGGCAAATGGTTAACATCGTGATATTGCTGCAAATTTTATTTGAGAGGTCAAACTTTAATACATTTTGCAGCAAAAACACCAGTATGGATATTTAACTAATCTAAAAATAGCTTTATGAATTTTGCTGAAATTGTACTGTAGGTTAGTACAGTTTCAGTATGTCACTACTGCTGTAAATTGAAATGATCACCGTTTGCCATCAGACCCACGATGGCTTTAGAGGTCCCACAGTAGTTCGATGGAGCGCTTTCATTTGCGAGAACTCCAAACAAGGCAATCGGTCCATAGGAGGAAAAGCCAAAAACAGCACCCAGCAAAAAAATCCAGACCTGTGTGGAAATGAACTTACGTTTTAGCTGTGAGCTGTGACTGTAGTGCGGAAGAGGTACATGGAGACACACATCCCAGCCATCATGGAGAGCAAGAGCCCATGGCGAGGGTTACCATACAGATGCAATCCATGCTGAAAATTAAAGAGCAAAAAAATATATATATATATTAATTTTTTATGTTTATTCAGTAAAGACAAATATTTCAACACTGATAATAATAAATTCATTCTTGAGCAAATCATCATATTAGAATGATTTCTTAAGGATCATGTGACACTGAAGGCTGGAGTAATGGCTGCTGAAAATTCAGCTTTGCATCACAGGAATAAATTACATTTTAAAATATATTAAAATAGAAAAGAGTTATTTTAAATTGCAATGATATTACTGTTTTACTGTACTTCTCTCAACAACAAAAAAATGCACCAACCCTTCTAAACGGTAGTGTATACAAAATGTTTTGTACGTTTTCTGATGTAAACGAGTGTTGTTTGACAAAAGCACACCCAAAGCTAGGATTGTAACGTGTTGTACAGGATCAAGCACACAATGCAGGAGAAGTTAACAAACTAAAAATAAATACAATGGGAATACTCAGGAGAAACCATGACACAACAACTGAAACATACAAACTATACCAGACAACTAAAACTGAGGGCTTAA